TCCCTAACCCTCAAGGGGCGTACAATCTAAGGTCCCTAACTCACATTCATACATACACATACAAGGGCCAATTTAGACAGGAGCCAATTAACCTACCAGCATGTCTTGGGAGTGTGAGAGGAAACCCAAGCAGCCACAGGGAGAATATGCAAACTCCAGGCAGGTGGTGCCATCGTTGGGACTTGAACCAAGGACCCTAGTATTGTCAGGTGGAAGTACTAACCATTTAGCCACTGCACTTTAACATATATTCCACGTACTAGGGCCAATTTAGACAGGATCCAATTAACCTACCAGCATGTCTTTGGAGTGTGGGAGGAAACCGGAGTACCTGGAGGAAACCAAAGCAGCTACGGGGCTACATATATTCAAATTCATTTTGTATACTTCAGAAGATTGGCTATATTCTTTTTAATATGTTAATTTGTTTTTTTTTGGGGAGATTACTTATCCCCGCTAGTCCAACCCACAAAGAGAAATGGAATAAGCTGATTTCTTTTTTTAAAATAATAATGAAAAATGTTCATGCAAAATAAAAATGAAACAGAACTGAAAGAACAAATGGAACTAAATTAATTTTGGGTTCATTCATTATGTTATGAGTTGGAGATTGTGATGGATCCACCTCCATCCACACCAAACACAATAAAGAGGCCTAAATAGGAATCCTCATCTTATTTCCATTTTATACCTAACTGTATTTATTGCAATATGTTTCCATTTTATATGCAGTGCATTTTTTTGTGATAATTAAAAATGTTAATGCAAAATAAAAATGAAATGGATCCAAATACGTTTGCATAATCCTTATGTTGTTATGTTATTTCGGATACTTCAAACACTAATAAAAGGCCCAATCTATCACATCATGTCATCTGAATGAAATTAATGAATACTAATGAAGTTTTGTTATACTTTATTTTGTATTCGTTGAAATTTGTTACTATTGTGATTTGGAGATTTGTATACATCCAAGTCTCTGAAGTAACAAAACAAATCACACACATCCACTTCCATAGAATCCAAATGAATTATCCAATGGGTAAAGGCAAGGAATCCTGCAGCTCCTCTAGTAGACCAGTGGTGATTCTCGCTGTTAAAGAGAAGAACAGGGAGGGTTCAGGTGTGTTAGGCTCCATGTACACGGGACACTTCTGAACGATGGAAACTGACTGCCGGAAAAATGTATGTTTAAAAACACCTGTTTAGCCGCATTTGCATACCGCGTTTATGTGCGTTTATGAGCGTTTGCGTTTAGAAGCGTTTTTTTAAAGATAACCTCAGGAGACCTTCCAAAATGCCCAGAATGCACTGAAAAAACAGTAAAAAATTAACTATTTCAGCCATTTTGAGAGAAATAGAGAGAGCAGAAGCAGAGAAAGCAGTATTTGTTGAGATTAGCTGTCTTTTTTTTTTTGTGGTGTTTGGATGTGTTCCAGCTCATTTCTGTGCAGAAATTATTGCAGCAGTGTCTAACATATTTTTTTTTCATGCAAAACCTCAAAGTATGGTGTACCAGGTCCATTTGAGTACTGGGAAAACACACTTTGCATGCATTTTTCATGATGAAAAAAGGCTCTGGACAGCATCTGGAAATGGAAGAGTTAAAAAAAAAATTCAAACGCAAATGCTTATAAACGTGGTTAGCCGCGTTTACAAGCGTTTGGCGTTTGAAACGCTGATAACGTCTACTCCTGAATGCAAGCTTTCTGCGTTCAAAAAAATGACTGTAAACTCAATTGCCTGTAAACAAAGATGTGTACATGGACACATAGGAAAACATTAGGGAGAGTTCAGGGGCTGCTGAAAAAAAAAAAAAAAAACGCTGAACAGATCCTAAACGTGAGTTTATCAGCTGCAGTGTACATGAGCCCTTAAAACTAAAGATTTTAATGGATAAAACAACAATTCCCATTTACAGTTGGATACACATCTATAGGAACCACAGTTTAATGAAGATGCTGACCTCAAGAATTTCTCTGCAGCCATCAGGGTGTGAGCAGTAATGTCACCAGCAATGGAAGACTATATTTATGTCATTACATGTTTCTTTTAAAGAGACTATGTTGCCAGACCATTCATTTTAACAAAACTTTCTTATAAAAAAATATGTTTTTTCCATATTTTATACGTGTTGTTTACCTGAAAATCCTCCCTTGTCTAGACATCCAAAAGCCCTGAGACTGCTGCTGGGTTTGGCCACCATGGATGTGATGTCAGCAACCCCAGAGCTGTCACTCAATTGACATTGTATAGTATTCACCTTCACTCCTTCCCTGCAAGCTACACAGGTTTTTTTAGGGAGATGAGGGGATGTGCATAGGATCTGGGCCAGTACTGAAAGTATTTGGACACTCCCAGAAAAAGAGATGGCTATGACTAGAGGGGGGGGGGGTTTAAAGGGTTAAAACAATCCCACAACCTTTGGATCTGCTAATGCACTGATCTATGAGTAATGAATTAATAATTCATCCAAAACCCTATTGCATATGTATATGCTATATTATTTGTTTTGCAATTTTTTTTCTCACAAAGGTTTCTCAGAGCAGGGCTTTCATCTAACTGTGCACATAAAACACCGCAGGCTATATCAATGATGAATATCTAAAGAGCACACAAAGAAACTTTTCAAACAAAGGGCTAGTTTACTGTCCTTCAGACTTTAGGAAGGCCGGATTATGGCCAGTGGGGGTAGAAATTGTCCAGTGCCCAGGATCAGTGAAAATAAATATGGCCTCAGGCGTGGTGGTCAGTAGAAGGGAGAGTAGTGCCCCATCGTTGATATTAGTGGGAGGAATAGTACTACAGCATTGTTATCTGGGGAAGAAATAGTGCCCCATTGGTGTCAGTGGAAGGAATGGTGGGAGGAATAGTGCCCCAAGGGCTAACAAAGGGCTGCATCGCAGTTTGGAGACCCCTGATATAAAACAATGCTACTACAGAATAATCCTTGTTTCTAAACATGAATGGTGGTTTTTTATACAGTGTACTATTCAAACTATGAAAATGATTTCTATGCCTCCTCAGCACTAAATATCACAGTTCATATGAGTCATGAGCCTGAGGAGGATGACTTTGGAACACAACTTTTCTTCACACCAGCCCCACAAAAATTTAAACAACTACATCATCCCCTGAATAAATAAACTGAAAACTAACAAGGTGCATTGTCTGCTCTATTTTCAGTAGTAACGGGATATATGCTGTAGATTGGCAGTGTGATTTACAAGCTCGCCTTATTTTATATGAAAGTAGGTGTGAGGTCTCCGTTGGCATTTTGATGGCCCAACATGTTGGGGTCACACTTACTAAGCCCTGCCTAAACAAATCACAAACAAGAGAGCTCTGGTAAGCAAGGCATTCCTATGTTTTTCACCTCCACCGCCAACATAAAGAGAGTCTTGTGATTGTAAGTTCAGCATAAAGTACAGTCTGTGCCGTTGAAAATTATAGCAGTTGAGCTGTGGTCGGGGTATGGCGAGGACCCTGAGCTGTGGCCAAGGCAGTTTGCTGAATCTGTATCTCTCCAGATCGTCGAACAAATAGCGATTACAGTTAAGAAAAATTCCAGATTTACATATGAAACCATAAATATTTTTTTCATGGCTAACAGGGGATGAAAAATGAAATTTCACTAGGTAACAAACTGACCGGTACAAGGCAGGCTTTGTCACCACTGTGTGTATATGTAAAGAGTATGCGTAAAACTGCCCATTTATTTATTGCATAAGCATACTGCTTCATTTATCTCCTGGTAAACATAAAGGTGACTAACTGTGTTTGTATTTAATGTTATATAGTGTTCAAAATACAAATGAACAACTGTGTAGCAAAATACTTTCTTGAGCAAATATATACATATATATATATATATATATATATATATGCTATATATGCCGAAAGTATTGGGCCAGCCCTCCAAATCATTGGATTCAGGTGCTCCAATCACCTCCATGTCCACAGGTGTATAAACTAAAGCACCTAGGCATGCACACTGCTTCTACAAACATTTGTGAGAGAATGGGTTGCTCTCAGGAGGTCAGTGAATTGGTACCGTGATAGGTTGTCACCTGTGCAATAAGTCCATCCGTGAAATTTCCTTGCTACTAAATATTCCACAGTCAACTGTTAGTGGTATTATAACAAAGTGGAAGCAACTGGGAAAAACAGCAACTCCGCGTAAAATGAAGAGTGGGGTCAGCATGTGCGCAGAAGTAGCCAACTGTCTGTCAACAGTTAAAGACCTCCATATTGCCAAAAGTATTGGGACTCCTGCCTTTACACACACATAAACTTTAATAGCATTGCAGTCTTAGCCGTAGGGTTCAATATTGAGTTGGCCTGCCCTTTGCTACTATAACAGCTTCAAATCTTCAGGGAAGGCCGTCCACAAGGTTTAGGAGGGTGTCTATGGGAACGTTTCACCATTCTTCCAGAAGCGCATTTGTGAGGTCAGGCACTGATGTTGGACGTGAAGGCCTGGCTTACAGTCTCCACTCTAATTCATCCCAAAGGTGTTCTATCAGGTTGAGGTCAGGTCTCTGTGCAGGCCAGTCAAGTTCCTCCACCCCAAACTCCCTTATCTATATGTCTTTATGGACCTTGCTTTGTGCAGTGGTGCGCAGTCATGTTGGAACAGGAAGGGGCCATCCCCAAACTCTTTCCACAACTTTGGGAGCATGCAATTATCCAAAACGTCTTGGTATGCTGACGCCTTAAGAGTTCCCTTCATTGGAACTAAGGGGCCAAGCCCAACCCCTGAAAGCAACCCCACACCAGGGGCAGACTGACCATTCGACCACCCGGGCATTGCCCAAGGGCCCGGGGTCAGTAGGGGGCCCCATAAAATGCTCCTGGTACCTTTTATAGGCTTTTTTGGGTGTGTTTTGAGTGTGGGCAATGACACAGGGGCCCCATGATCCCCAGTTGCTCGGGGGCCCCATGAGTTGTCAGTCCGTCCCTGCCCCACACCATAATCCCCCCTCCACCAAACTTTACACTTGGCACAATGCAGTCAGGCAAGTAATGTTATCCTGGCAACCGCCAAACCCGGGCATGTCCATTGGATTACCAGACAGAGAAGAGTGATTCATCACTCCAGAGAATACGTCTCCACTGCTCTAGAGTCCAGTGGCGGTATGCTTTACCCCACTGCATCCGACACTTTGCATTGCACTTGGTGATGTAAGGCTTGGATGTGGCTGCTTGGCCATGGAAACCCATACTATGAAGCTCTCTACGCACTGTTGTTGTTCTAATCTGAAGGCCACATGAAGTTGTGGAGGTCTTTAGCTATTGACTGTGCAGACAGTTGTTAACACGCTGACCCTGCTCTGTCATTTTACTTGGCCTACCAATCTGTGGCTGAGTTGCTGTTGTTCCCTGTTGCTTAAACTTTGCTTATTTTTATTATACCACTAACAGTTGACTGTGGAATATTTAGTAGCCAGGAAATGTCCCGGATGGACTTACTGCACAAGTGACAACCTATCACATTACAATGCTTGAATTCACTGAGTTCTTGAGAGCAACTCATTCTTTCACAAATGTTTGTAGAAGCAGTCTGCATGCCTAGGGGCTTGATTTTATACACCTGTGGCCATGGAGGTGATTGGAGCACCTGAATCCAATGATTTGGAGGGGTGTCCCAATACTTTTGGCAATATAGTGTGTGTGTGTATATATATATATATATATATAGTAAACATAAAAGGTTTTTCAACATTTGGTCACACGTACTACAATATAAATTTGCATTTCAGATGTTATAATTACAGGATAACACTTGATCAATCAGATAGATATATGAATTTTAAAATGCATGGGACTGAATTGGTAGTACTAAAATGGTTGAAACCCTAGACATGAAATATGAACAAAACATATCCCTCTATAGCTTGTACTTGTCTCACTTAAGAGCACCAAGTATCATTTCTGTCTGCTGCCTTGTTCCTCTGCTATCAGCATGAATCACTTCTAACAAGTTTACCTGACACCAAGAGAAAAAATGTGACAGGAGACAGACTTCCAACAGATTGACAGCCTCAGCTCTGTTCTTGTGTGCTGTGTGGAGGGGGTGTATCTCTTCCCTTCATCCAGTTCTCAGAGCTCTCCTCACTGAGCTCTGCAGAGTGTGATTTCAGCTCTCTGCCCCCTTTTTTCTGAACTCATAGACAAGCTTCAGCACTTTAAACAGATGTAGAGAAGAGAAGACTGCAGATAAGCAGGTACAACGTATGTAGGAGGATTACATCACTGTATATCACCTGAGACTAGTCACTTCACTGGGTATATGTAACGATTTACAATATGTTTATTTGAGATACCGTCTTGATTCAGACACTTTAACTATTTAACAAACCAAAAGCTCATCAACTTTGGATAATAAGGACTGTGGCACTTTACTGCTTAACCATAATAAACAATACATATAATAAATAATTTTATAAATGACCAATTTAATATCAAGAAATAATAAAATACACGGCTCAAAAAATTAAAGGAACACTTTGAAAACACATCAGATCTCAATGGGAAAAAATATGCTAGATATCTATACTGATATGGACTGGGTAATGTGTTAGGGACGTAAGGATGCCCCATCTTTTGATGGAATTAAAAATTGTCAACTACAGAGGACTGAATTCAAAGACACCCCGAAAATCAAAGTGAAAAAATTATGCAGCAGGCTACTCCATTTTGCAGAAATTTCCTTGCAGCAACTCAAATTGTAAGGCCCCCATGTCTTGTATGCATGCCTGACAACGTCGGGGTATGCTCCTAATGAGACGACAGATGGTGTCCTGGGGTATTTCTTTCCAGATCTGGACCGGGGCATCACTGAACTCCTGGAATGTCTGAGGTGCAACCTGGCGGAGTCGGATGGACCAAAACATGATAGCCAGAGGTGTTCTATTGGATTTAGGTCAGACGAGTGTGGGGGCCATACAATGGTTATCAATTCCTTCATCCTCATGGAACTGCCTGAATAGTCGTGCACCAGGAGGAACCCAGGACTCACTGCACCAGTGGAGGGTCTGACAATGGTTCCCAGGATTTCATTCCGATACCTAATGGCAGTCAGGGTGCCATTGTCTAGCCTCTAGAGCTCTGTCCGTCCCTCCATGGATATGCCTCCCCAGACCATCACTGACCCACCACCAAAACGCTCATGCTGAATGATGTTACAGGCAGCATAACGTTCTCCAGAGCTTCTCCAGACCCTTTCACATCTGTCACATGTGCTCAGGGTGAACCTGCACTCATCTGTGAAAAGCACAGGGAGCCAGTGGAGGACCTGCCAATTCTGGTGTTTAGTGACAAATGCCAATAGAGCTCTATGGTGCTGGGCAGTGAGCACAAGGCCCACAAGAGGACGTCGGGCCCTCAGGCCACCCTCAAGAAGTCTGTTTCTGCTTGTTTGGTCAGAGACATTCACACCAGTGGCCTGCTGGAGGTCTCTTTGTAGGGCTCTGAGAGTGCTCATCCTGTTCCTCCTTGCACAAATAAGAAGATACTGGTAATGCTGATAGGTTAAGGACCTTCTATGCCCCTGTCCAGCTTTCCTAGATTACTGTAACTGCCTGTTTCCTGGAATCTCCTCCATGCTCTTGAGACTGTGCTGGGAGACACAGCAAATCTTCTGGCAATGGCACGTATTGATGTGCCATCCTGGAAAGGTTGGACTGCCTGTGCAACCTCTGAAGTGTCCAGGTATCACCTCAGTAGTGACACTGACCCTAGCCAAATGCAAAACTAGTGAAAAACAGTCAGAAAAGATAAGTAGGGAAAAAAATGTCAGTGGTCTCCACCTGTGAAATCATTCCTGTTTTGGGGGTCATCTCATTGTTGCCCATCTAGTGCACCTGTTGTTAATTTTATTAACACCAAAGCAGTTGAAACTGATTAACAACCCCCTCTGCTACTTATCTGACCAGATCAATATCCCAGGAGTTTAATTGACTTGATGCTATACTCTGATTAAAAAGTGTTCCTTTAATTTTTTTGAGCGTTGTATATCGCTCAGCCAATGACTCAAGCAATTACAATGTAATATAATAAATGTAAAGTTTGACCCAAAAACTCCTGCGCTGCCACTAATCTAATCAGCAAACTCAGGATAAGATATAAAAATGTAAAATATAATAAAATTCAAAACACCTGAGCTTCAATGCAATCACCCAAATTAATAATTAATGGCGTTGCGGTGCTCTCAGTCACTCTTACTAGTGTGTAATTATAATAGCATAAACGTGTTATAAACATATATAAATCAATACCACCTCCTTAATTTGCAATTCTTCTTTTACATATAATAAATGTAAACACACTATAGAGCTACTTACTAGTGCATAATTAATAACATAAAGCTGTGCCATAAACTGTTATAAATCAAATCTTACAACCATCAACTTAATATTGTGAGTCTTCTTATATATACAGTGTATAATAAAAGGAAACACACTACAGATCCGCCAACCCACAGGCAGATAAATAGTGCAAACTCCGGACACTACCGCAGTTAGAGAACACCACTCCCAGGCGCACATTATTTAGGAATCGGTACAACAGAGCCTGTACCAACGTCCACCAACCCAGCAATACTTGTCACCTCACTCCCAGTGACATGTCCACAGTTACTAATGGATATGGGAGATGAACCTCTGTAACTATGTGCTTGCTTTCTCTCTCTCATGGGCCACTTTGCATCTCTCCCATGACTGTGCTGCAGGTCTGGTCTTAGTATGTGGACAAGGACAACACCCCTTCACTACCAAAGTAACCGTTACCCTACGCCAAGTCACCCATTTCCTGGCTGGTTGGCTGATTTAAGCAAGGATACCTATACAGTTGTCCCTCTCAATGGCAATAAAGCCTGTGCTAGGCACCAAACTACATGCTGGAATAAAGTGTACTGTATCTCCTCTAACTAACAGTTCCTTGGTTACAAGCCCTGTTCTTTAGATACAGCATGCAATGCATCACAGAGAGACATCAGACCGAGCATTTAAAGGAACATGAACAGTCTTCACTGAAGTAATGAGACCTTCATAGCACCAGTGATCTGCTGATCACTAGTGCAATGCTTTAGAGCAGGGGTGTAAAACTGGCGACCCTCCAGCTGTTGCAAAACTACAAGTCCCATCATGCCTCTGCCTTTGGGAGTCATGTTTGTAACTGTCAATCTTGCAATGCCTCATGAGACTTGTAGTTTGGCAACAGCTGGAGGGCAGCCAGTTTGACACCTGTGCTTTAGAGGCTCCAGGAACAAAAAATAATAAATGCACATTTTTACCTGCAAAATATGTGTATGTATTATTTTTTGTTAGAAGGTGAACTTATCCTTTAATTGAGAAGACAGCAGGCTTGACCCAGATAACTAAGAAATGTGAGCCAGCATGGAAAAAAAAACATTAACCCCTTGGAAGCACCTGCTTACAAGCTATATTTATTCATGTAAAACCTTTTTCCCAAATGGAAAAAAAACTGCTGTAACTGACTATTAAATATTAGCTGGGAATTGGCTTTAGTTTGTTAGTGTCTTTATTTCTAGTTAAATCTAATTTTCCCTTCCCCCAGACTGACAATGCTGCTGTCCAAAGGTGTGCTGTGCTCCTTCATCCAGAATGTTGGCCCTCTAACACATTAGGTGTGTTACTGGCCAGATCACCAGGTGAAAACAAAGGGAGAAAGTCTAAAAAACAAAAATGAGTGCAGCCACAACATCTAATGATTGGTAAACTGCAATATATTACATTTTTGGCTTTAGGTTTTAAGAATATATACTTGAATAGAATATATTTTAAAGCAGAGTTTAGTGTCACTTTAATGTGCTCTGCATGCCTATTATTTTTACTTTGCAGCATTTTTACTTTGTAACATCTCATTAACTAAGAATTTTAACAAGTTGATGGCACTCATTTCAGGTAATAAGATCATTGTAGATTTTCATCAGCTGCAGGCATCTAGTGTTGCGTTGTGATATCTTTCATGGTCAAGTGATGGACGTGTGTCACAAGGAACATCATGGAGTTCCCCAATTAGACCTTGGATTGAGGAACCC